GTACGATGTGTCACGAAACTTTAATATACCTTATAAGATACTACACCGATAAGTGAAATCTTTGTGAGGTTGTGAGATGTAATAGGTTTCATGTAAAACTATTACACGTCCTCCCAACCAAAATGATTTTATGGGTTGTCTTCTAAAAGTATTGAAGTCAAACGGTGACGAACTAGTGGACTAGTTTTGTTATCTTATCTATAATACGAACAGATATTCACTAATGAGAAATTCAACTCATCCGACTTGATTTTTCTACTAATCTATTTAAATCCACTATACCATCAACTTTAGTTTAATGTCATTAATTAACGTAAACTTTAAGTAGCTTTCCTGAAAGATTAGTGTTCTCAAAAAATAGAGCATTCAATCGTGATGAAATTTTTCTTAAGAATGTAGTACGAGCTAAACGAATCACAGTAAAATTTACAGGTGGTGCACTTTTACATACTCTTTCAATCAAAGGATGTTCAGCATAGAGAATAGACTCCCAAAAAGACTTTTGAAGGACCAAAAGAACTATTTTCAATTCTTGTTTGATACTTCTCTTCGGAAAACTGCGTGGTGTGGAGCTAAAACTTTTAGCGCATTCACTTTGTTATATCCTGAAACATATCCTCAAAATCTAATACAATCTTAATTTACTTAATCTAACACCTATTCTGAAGGAGGATGAACTATGTGTTAAGCTTGAATAGTTCTAGCTGTTGTATAGCTTACTTCAAATAACGATTTTTTAAACACAATTCACAGCATCAAGTAAAATACTGTTAACCAATCTTTTTATCAAAAAAATCTATTCTGACAAAGTGCATCCTTTCTGACGAGAGAAACTAATTCGAATAGTGCTTTATAGATAAAGAGAAAGAGTTTAAGTTTAGTATTAACAATTAATAATAGACTCACTACCCAGCTTTTATTGATATCAATTATGTTGTAAATCTTTATACCTAAGTGATGAATATTATGACATTTCTGTAAAAAACCATCTACATATAGAACAATTCTTATAGGACTACACTGAGAAGCATGTTATAGTCATTTCATTGATAAAATAGACACCTTTATTAAACAGAGAAATCACACGAACCTATGATAATACTCAACAAAGTTCTGCTTGATTTTTAAGCTGTCTCATATAATCGACCTAATCTCAGCGTTTGTGCATCATGGAATAAAAGTGCGATGACATTTGCTGAAGAGAATTTAGTTGGACAAAAACCTGTTGGCCTTTTCATTAATGATCAAGACACTGTCTACCATGCTAATCGTGAAAATGGCCAGATTTTAGTATGGACCAATGAATCGTCGACTCCAACAACAATTATTCCGACGAATTCAACTAATATATGGAGTCTTTTCGTCACAAATGATGGTGATATTTATTCTGACAATGGTAATGACAATGATCACATCAATAAATGGACATTGAACGCAACGCAAAGTGAGATTGTGATGAATGTACACGGCTGGTGTACAGGACTCTTCGTTGACAAAAATTACCATTTGTATTGTGCTTCGATGACAAATCATCGTGTTCTTAAAATGGCACTCAACAACGGGCAAACCGCACCGGTGGTAGTCGCTGGTACAGGATGTCCTGGTCCTGTGCCTAATATGCTTGATCATCCGCACGGAATTTTCGTCAATGATCAATTTAATCTATACGTAGCTGATACTGATAATAACAGAATTCAACTTTTTACACCTGGTCAAAAAAATGCAAAAACAATAGCCGGTTTCGGAGCAAAGGTTTATATCATACTCAATAGACCAACAGATATTGCGCTCGATACCGATGGTTATCTATATATTGTGGAAAGTCAAAACCATCGAATCATCCGATCTGTTCCAAATGGATTCACATGTTTGGTTGGATGTTCTGGTAATAGCGGAGCAACATCCAGCCAATTGGATTATCCACAGACGATGGCTTTCGACACAATTGGAAACATATTCGTGAGTGATTTCAACAATCACCGAATTCAAAAATTCCAGTTAATTGGAAATACATGTGGTATGTCTATTTCTGTTGTAACTGAGTAGTTAGGAAATTGTTACATTGATTATTGTTACCATAGTTATCGATAAGAAAATTCATAAAAAGTAGCAAATGCGCTTTAATTAAAATAGAATTTAGAAATTAAAACCAAGGTCACTTTTTCATGAGACACGACTGAGAATATTGCTTGCGAAATCGATAAAGCAATATATGTTTTTTTTAAATTTCTATTTGATTGTTCTCATAAGTAATTACTAGTATGTGACACAAATGATAAAGCAAATCAGTACGCATAGGTGAAGAACAATGTCAGTTCAGGACTTTCAATCTTCATCCAGGAAAGTGATGACTTTTTTCTAAAGTCTACGTTAGTTACGGCCCTTATTAACAATGTAGTAATATAGAATGTGAGCAGGAAATTCAAATTAACAATTGTTTTGTAATTATTAAAAGGAATAAAGTCATGTTTATAAAAAACTGCGTCAGTTTCATCCCAATCGATTGAATCCAAGATCGAATCCTATCGGATCTAGTCAGATTCGATAGTTGAATCATAATGTATTTCCTATATAATCCCAGGTGGAAAAATCAGACATAAGATCTTGTAACACCAGATAAAATTGTATAAAAAATCGTTATCTCTGAAATCTTATGCTAAGTCGTATTATAAGATTCTTGAAAGATCTTGCTGCATTATTAGACATTACTATAAGACAAGTAATGCTCGTCGTTGCCAATCCGTGGACTGTCGAATGAATGTTCAGCTCTTTCTGTAGAACATAATACTTTACAAGCACAACCGATATTAATATCAGATATATCCAGCAGAGTTGGTGTGCATGTCACTGTCACTGTTCGTGAGGATGTCGCTGTTTGACGTGGGGTGATTCTCTTCAGCGATTCAACTAATCATATTCATACTCGCAAACTCACCACCGTACTCACACACTACACAAACATATCCAACAAGATCACATTTGCGCCACACCACAACACTCCCATATCCTAGAGACATCAGATTGGATGAGAGCTAGCTATCGAAAACACCTGATTAGCTGAAAGTGCAGCATAATGTAGTCATTTGAAATAGTTAGTCGAATGTATCAGTAATATATACAGACACATGACTATTATCGGAATTTTAAAAGAAGGCCATTGGGCAAAATGCTTATAACTTTTGAACGAAGATAGCTAGAGCCCTCCGGTTTTCACCATTCGAAAGAGGAGACAAGGAGACGCCTTTTTCTCCAATATTCTACAGAACGAAATCATATAAAAATCAGTCATTTCTACAAAACATCGAAAAAATGTATAAAAAACGTTCCGCCATTCAGATGTCAGAACCAAAACTTAATTGGAATGACAGATCGTTTCCATGCATTTTTTTCGATGTTTTGTAGAAATGACTGGTTTTTAAATGATATTGTCCTATACAATATTGGAGAAAAAGGCGTCCCCTTGTCTCCCCTTTCGAATGGTGAAAACCGGAGGGCTCTAACTATCTTCGTTCAAAAGTTATAAGCATTTTGCCCAATGGCCTTCTTTTAAAATTTCGATAATAGATAAGTGCATGCAAACATATAAAAGTACAATCGCGTTTTATTTCATATGACTCTCCCTACAGTCAAA